ACAACACATGCTCATTAACGCCTCATCATGGTACATGATAGACCTCTGGGCCTTCTGCTTCCTGGCTCCCTGTGATTATGCATCTTGTGACCAGAATCTCCCCAGAGCCATTCCCCAGCCTCCAATGGCCACCATTCAGCTCTCTGCCTTTTATAAGATTACATTTTCAGAATCCACATGTGAATGAGATCATGCAGCATCTGCTGTCTATGCCTATCCCATCTTAGGTGACATCACATCCTCCAGGTTGTCACAAACATGACACAAAGTGGAGGAGGTTGTCCGCAGGGAGCAAGTTCAAGGCCAGCCTGGGATACAGAGTGAGAACCAGTCTCAAAATAAATCCAAACCAGCCAAATGCCAGGTCAGCAGGGCTTGGGTTATGGTAGGAATGTGAAGGGACAAGGTCTGGCTCTCTAGCACCCAATGGGGGCAATAGGTGGCGAAGAAGAGTAAGGAAGAAAAGGTGTATGAACAAGGCTTGTTAGGAGATGGCCAGCTCTTGCCTTTCTGTGACCTTCTCGCCCCACGTTCTGAGGGAAGGTCTTATATAGATATTGCATAAGGTGTATGAGTCCCAGAAAGTGAGTGTCTTGGGTTTTAAAGTGACCTCTTCTGAGAGGTGGAGTGTGTGTGTATATGTGTGGGTGTGTTTGTGTGTATGTGTGTTTTCTAGTTCACAAAGTTGGTGAGTCACATCCCAGCAGATCTAAAAAAGACTCAAATAATCAACATTTCTGTGTTGATTAAAATTACTTGTGTTACAGAGACAGCTGCCCCAAGCTGGTGGGAGCTCATGGACTCTGTCCTGTCAACTGGGGTACATGCATGGTACCAAACTAGGCCCTCTGAATGTGGGTGACAGTTATGTGGCTAGATCTGTTTGGGGAGCCCCTGGCAGTGGGATCAGGAGTTATCCCAGGTGCATGAAATGGCTTTTTGGAACACATTCCCTAGGGTGGGATACCTTGCTCATTCTTAACACAGGGGCAGGGGCTTAGTCTGCCTCAACTTAGTATGCCAGACTTTGTTGACTCCGCAAGGGAGGCCTTACCCTCTCTGGGGAGCAGATGAGTAGGATGGGGGAAGGTGGGGAGGACGGAAGAAGGGGTGGGGGACTGATATTGGTATGTAAAATGAAGAAAAAAACCTTTACAAAACAAAAAATTACTTATGTCTTTGATGTGGTCAACCTCCTTCCAGAATTGGCCTTGGCTTGTGGCTTGGGCCCAGAGAGTCCCAGGGAGGCTGTGTAGTTTCTAAGTTAGCTCCAGTGTATAGTTAATCTATCAAAAACAGTCCTTAGGAGGCAGCCAGTCCTTCCCAAATAAAGAAGGCAGGGACAAGGAGAAGTTGTGAGAGTTGGGGATCTTTCCAGGCCAGGCTGTGCTGGGCTCTGTGGCCTGAGACTGCGGTCCCTTGGGAATCCTCTCCCAGGGTACTCAGGTGGAATGGACTGCAGCCAGAAGAATGTCCCCTTCTGGAGAGTGAGGTCTCACGTTTTGACAAATGGCTGGTGTGTTCAGGAAACAATCTGCCACCTGTGTGAGCATCTAAACTGCTGACAGTTCAGGTTCTGAGGAAGGGTTTTCATCCCTGCGGATCTGCCAGGGGGTGGGGGGTGGGGTAACCTAGCACCCTTGCAGTCAGCCTGACCAGGGCTGCCTTGCCAAGTTTCGTTTTTCAAAGCTCTGCAACTTTACTTAGATGTATGTGGGTTTTGCTTTGTAATCAGATTCCCACCAAACATCTATCATTAAATCTTTGTTTTTACAATACATGCTTTATTGTAAAACCAATTTCAACAGAGTGTTGCAGATGCAATGCAATTTTCATGTCTTAGTTGGGTTGTCTTTTATTTCTTTGCTTTTTGTTTTGGGGTGGGGTTTTTTTTTTTCCTTTTTTTTTTTTTTTTTTTTTTTTGGTTGCTAGGGTACTAAACACTTGAGAAAGTAGCTTGGTAATATCTATAATGCAGCAGTCTTCCAAGTAAGAGATTACATTAGCCCCATGTTCTATATTTGGGCAGATTGTATCCATCATGGCTCGGCAAGATAAATACATTAAAATGCACTGATTTAGGAAGAAATGAGATACTTATATTGCTGACAATGGTTTACGCTTCTTTTCTGACGGATGCCTTGCTACTGGCATAGCTCATACTTACCCAGCGTAGCGGTTTCCATTTCTTAAGGGAGACAAAATGCCACAGGAAGCCTAGGAAAGTAGTTCAGTTGGTAGAGTGTTTGCCTCAGAAGTATAAGGATCTGAGATAGATCTCCAGAGCCTATGTAAAAAGCCAAGGGTGGTAGCACTTTCTTGTAATTCCAATGGGAGGCAAAGACAAGAGGATCCCAGGGGCACGCTCTGGCCCCCTCTCCTATTTGGTGAATTCCAAAGCAGGAAGAGACCTTGTGTAGGCAACTGTATCTGCTGTGAGTCTGCATGCAAAGCTGTCACAACCAATCATTTTCCCCAACCCATTCACAATGGTCCCTGAGCCTCGGAGGCATGGCCGGGGTGTGATACAGATGTTCCGTTTGTAGCTGAGCAGCCCACTGGCACCTGTTCTCTGCGCTTGTGAGTTTCTACATTGACCACCTTTTACTGTATTAAAAACAACAGCAGCAGCAACAAAAACCCAGCTTCTCTGAGGAGGTCTGAGAGCCGCACTAACCTACTGGGAAGAGATACAGATCTAGAGAGCAGTTTTCTACAATGCCCATTGAGTAAACTAATAGTAGCAGGTCCATCCCTGGGACCTGTGAGCTCTTGAATATTGGGTTTGGAGGCAGATTCAAGTGCCAGGCCTGTGTTTCCTCCTGTATAGAAGGCCTTAAATTCAAACAGAGAGCAGCTGGTTAGCTTCATAGTATTCATGCCACAATTGCCCCCATGGGCATACCTTGCCATGCTGGTCATTACTGTACTGTGTACAGGGGTTCACAGCCAGGTAAGACTGTTGATGACTTCTTTTCCCCAGCACACCGCATAGCACCTTCCAACACTATGAAAGCTAGCCAGTAGGGAGGAAGCTTCCCGGTCAGTCCCAGCTTTATCTCTCCATGTCTTTATAGACATTTTTAAAAGGCTGTCAGGGAGCTGGAGGTGGCTCATTGTAGTGCAGATACAATGCAATTTTCATGCATTAAAGTGCTTGGCACACAAATATGAGGACTGGAGTGGGCCTGGAGACTCACTGCATTTCTGGCCCTGGGAGATAGAGACAAGGGATTCCCCAAAACCAAGGGGCTAGTGAATTCTGGGTCTATTGGAAGACTCTGCCTCAATGAATAAGGCAGAAGAACAATGAGAATTATTCAGCCATGAGTATCGATATAAAATGTGTGCACCCACACACTTATGAACACACATATACAATATACCTGTATGTATACGCGCACGCACACACACACACACACACACACACACACACACACACACGGAAAAAAATCTCCCCAACTCCCAAAAAGATGCCAGATATACATACATATATAGGTTGTGCCTCAGAGGTGAGATGCCCACCAGCCTTCTTCAGCCTCTGTCTGCTCACCCTGGCCTTCTCTTCTTGGAATATCATGAGATGAACCCAAGGGTCACACTTACTGTGTGTCCCTCGTAGACTAGGGTGGGCTGTGACTCCCACCAAACTCTAGGTGACTTGTCCATCTCCTTTTCCAAGTTGGCAGCTGTGGCTGGCCAGGAGTCAGGGTCAGCCCTGGCATCTAACCAGGAGCAGACACGTAGTCTTGAGATGATGTAACAAAGCCCCTCAACCCCACCATGAGGCCTAGGTGCAGTGAGGCCACTCCCAGTGATGTGCTCCATTGTCTGGGAGTAAGAACGCTCATCCCAAAGTCCATCTGATTTGAACACAAGAATTTAGACTATAAAGCAGTGCTTGGTGGGGGGGGGGGGGAGCGGTCCAGTGCACGTAGATTCCACCCTATACACCCTGGGCATGGCAGGGATTGGACAAACTGCAGACTTCTGGAGGAAGTGGCACTGGGAATCCCTTCATGAGTGACTCCTGCTCAACTCATCTTCCATAGCCTGCCCCTGCCTTCTCACTGGATTGTCATGGGGTGGAGAAGTGTGGCCTAGGAAATGCGGCAGAGCACAATGTGGTAAGGCTTGGATGTTAAGATAGACCAATCCAGTCATGCACCCACCCACCCACCCATCTATTCCTTTCACACGTGTGAGTGATTTGTGATGGGGGAGGGGCAGGCTGCAGGTCAACACTGAGTGTCATTCTTCATGTGATGTTGCCTTTTTCCTTTCCTAATTATTTATTTATTTTGAGGCACGCTCTCTCACTGGTGCAGAGCTCTCCAATTATAGTCAGCTGGCTCAACAGAAAGCCTTAGGGATCCACCTATCCACCTCCCCAGTGCCGGGATTGCAAACCTGTTCCTTCTTGCCCTGGTTTTTATGTGGCTCCTGGAGATCAAATTCAGGTCTTCATGCTTGCACAACACGCACTCTGACCGCTGATCCGTCTCCCTCAGGTTCTTCCACTCATTTCTGGGCATGCATGTGCTCAGACACCAACATCAGCCTTAGTTCACAATGCAATGTTTGCACTATCCCACCCAATCATCTCTGTGAGCCTCAGTTCCCTCATAGCGCTCTTGGGAGGATTAAATACTAATTGGCCACAGCACAGAGGAAGCCTGCCTGGGACAGAGAATTTCACCATTGTGTCTGTCTTTGAGATATGGTCTGAGGACTGCGACGGTGTGAACCTCTGATCTCTCAGGGCAGGAATAGTATGGCCACACCCTGCTCAATGACCTGGGGTCCCCTCACAGGTCGTTGATGAAGATTATAGAGGTGTATTCCCCTCTTTCTCAGAGAAAGATAACAAAGACCTTTCTATAGGACTCAGA